CCCCACCCCCCACCCCCAACCCGCTCATGGGTTTGCGTGGCAGAAGTGTGCTTTCAAAGGCAATCAAAAGTGTGCGTGTGTAAAGATGAGGTAGAAAACGTGTGTGTGTGTAAAGATGAGTTGTCATCTGTGTGCGAATCTGAGTGAGATTTCAGGGGGGGTCTGTGTGCGAATATGAGTTGGATCTGTGTGCGAATATGAGCGGCCTCCCGCATTGCGCACGTAGCAATCCCACCTTTTCAAGTTTGTAGTTTCTCAGAAATCATTGTATACACATATTTCTGATCGGAGGCTGCTCAGGATTCGGCTTCGCAGTTTATTAACGTGCTCCAGTACCATTCGTGCCTTGCAAGCTTGGTGTTCTTGCGACAGCTGCGACAACAGACCCTGTAAGGACCATGTGACACAACTCATCTAACGGTCTCCGAAGTTTTGCAGCCTCCCCAGTCAGAAGTGGCTGTAGCAACACGGAGGCATCTGAGCTGGGCTATATCAAACCGGCTACACAGTGCCATGTCCGGGAATTAAGGATTGAAGACACCATGTTTGGAACAGGATCTCACAGCACACCAAGACAAAGGAGTTAAGTCCAAGAGATGAAAGAACTGGTAAGGGCCCTTACTTTCCTTTCTGCACTCTTGGACTTCTACTTTCATTTTGCGAGGAGTCTCACAAGTCACAGTACGTTTGAAAGCGCCCGTAGGATGATTGTATTCCCAGGGTGGGAACGCACATGCAAAACACTTCTTAGACTTGATGGGGAAGGGCACTGGGCTTCAGCTGTAGTTTGAGAGTTTTTGATGCATAACCAACATTCTGGGCAAAGTATTTCTATATACAATAAACTTGCGACTTGATTGAGGTGTGAAGCGCCAGACTTGCTAAGCAAATGGTGTGCTTCTGAAGGCGCTAGATTCTGGATTGTGGGTGCATTGATGTTTAGCAAGTTAAACGATTATGTAATCGCAATGACTGATGCAACGTTTGTGAACGATGTTTGAATATATTTGAACTTACGGTTTTTTTTTTAGAATGCATTTGCATAAGTTGAATGAAGGTTCTATGACATTCTATGGGTGATGTTTACAGAACAAGTATGTAGACCTGTTTGCACCTGTGAGCATTGTGACACCTGTACTATCCTGTACTGCTGTTTGTGTCAAACGCGTTCCAGTTCATGCTTTCCCATGACACTATTCTTTGTGTTGGCTCCGCCCAGTGTCAAAATTTTGATCGAGGCTGTTTGCTTTGATCTACTTTTGAGGAAGACACTGTATTCCTAGAACTTGTGAAGACACCACCGAAAGCAACGGAAGAGGACGCGATACGTTGGCGAGAGTACTTCGATGCTCCAAAAACCAACATTGGCCCACCATCTTGCGAGTGAAAGAAACAAGAGTTTCCTGACACCCGTTTCATCCCCCCTCGTCCGACAAGACAGAGAATAGCCATGTTGGATTGTTTTGGCAATCCAGCATACTAATACTATCAGGGAATGCAAACTGATTGTAGCGCTGCAAAGATTAGACATTGGTGTCGAGTGGACGTCAAAACGTCCTTTTTCACCCAGTGAGACAGTTCTGTCCAGGCATAGAGCATGTTGCTGGGGAGAATGCGCCGTTGGTCTTCTACTCTGGCTTCACTCGTTCCTTTCTAGCTGGTGAACAAGGCACAAGTGCAGAATGGCTGCAGAAGTGCCTGGGACTGCAGAAGGCTGTTGGTTTAAGACTGCAACGGACTGCACTTCGACTACCCAGGATCTTTTGCACAAGTGATAAGGCATGACTAATTGACGCAACTGCTTCTGAATTCCTAGTAGCGTGCTTGCTCCTAGTAGCGATGCCCTTTGTTACTAGTAGCTTTTTGCTACTAGTAGTAATGCCAGGAGCTACTAGTAGCTCCTGGCATTACTACTAGTAGCGTCCTTACTACTCTGCGAATCATGATTGTTGCTGCTTGAAATGGGCGAACCCGGGTTGTTTCTTAAGAATGGGTCCGCAACCAGTCCTGCTCAGGATCCAGCAGAAAGTTGCCGCTATGTCCGAGGGACGCAGAGTTGAAGCTTGTCTAAAGTGGTGTTTGAGTTTGTAGGAGATCCATTCACGGATTGACTCACCTCTGTCCTGTTAAATCCGGTCTTTGTTTAAAGCCTTCTCCCCCTGCCTACTGAATCAAGTAATTAGGTGCGTACTTAATTAAGCAAGGCGACTAGTTCGCTACTAGACTTAGTTAGCTTCTACATATGGACGCAGGATAGCTCACGCTTCTTTCCAGGAAGCTCCCCGCGCCTGAGGGCGGGGGGGAGCTTCCTTGAAGAAGCGCTCATTTGCTTCCTATTTTTTTAGGGAAACTTAACAGGGACAGAACAGGATCCACTAACAGATTGGCAGTGATGCGGTTCAAGATAGAACAGGTAGCTCAGCCGCACAACTATCGTCAGGTGAGAAAGGCGCACATGGCCGAGAAGAAACAGCCAACTAAGTCAGTAGGCTGTTGCTGCAGCTAAATTTGAGCAGGAGTGCATAATATATAGGGCTGTTCACTGTTCAACCACGCACAGGAAGTATGAATCTCTTTGTACCACAGCTTGGGAGCGTTCCAGTCGCTGTGTTGCCGCAGTCGCACATGTACAGGGTTACACGATTGATAGTTAGTTCCTCCAAGTTTCCAAATGAGCACCATACTATAAGACTATAAGTCATTCCATGTAATTCCAACACCAGCATGCCCATGATTCCCCATATATCCCTTGGCCCGGCCTGGCCTGCTTAGCTCATCATCGATGGAGTGGGCTTCCCTTCAGTGGGCTCCATTGTCGGGGTGGACAACGCTGACGTGGCCAAAGCAGCCAAGGCACCAGTACTCCTGGTTTGCGCCTCGACAGCGGGTGATGGGCTTTCCTGGTGGCTGAGTGTCAGTTTGTTGAGCTTCCTTCTAAGTGTTCGTCCGAGCTTTGAGAAAGGATCAACATATGCGATGCAACTACTGTAATATCAAATAATTGATCAGAGTGCCCCAATCGGAACACCAATCAGATACCAGTAGACACCAATCGGAAGTTTGGGGAAAGCTTGGAAGACACATGTGCTCAAAGAGCGAAAATGGCAACGCGACTGTCAATGTGGAACTGCTTTGCTCGTGATTCCAGTAGACGTACTGTGTAAATGTTTCAACGTTGAAGAGACGGATATTATGTCAGTTGAAGCTTTCCGCCTACGCCCAGTGCAGGTGTCGGCAAGGGAATGCACAGAGACCTCTTCTTGTTTTTCTCCCTTGTTGATTCCTTTCTTAATCAGTTTGCATCCATTTGCGCTGGCTTTGAAGCGTTGTGTTTCTTGGCCCAGGCAAATCTGGAGTAGGTCCGCTCCTCAGCATTCTTGGCCATGTAGTTGAGCCAGCGGAAAGTTACGTAAAGTGTGGGCCAATAGGAGCAGGCTGAACCTCAACAGTGTCCAAGTACTGCTTTTTTGATTGTTTTGCTGTGTTCGAAGTGCAAACTTTTTCCATCGACGCTATGTCGATTTGATAACAAGTAAACAAAGTCATTACGAAAGAACATGTTTGCAAGAGGTTTATCTTCAGATATCCACAGGTCAAAGGCAATCCAGTAAGTATGCAGTCCGGTGCACCTCAATTTCAATGGCAAAGCGTCAGGCTCTGCTGTCGACAGCTTCAGCCTAAATGCTAGCTACTTTGTGGCCAAAGGGGTGCCAGTGCTGGGTGCTCTTTTCAACCTGGGTGCTACTTGGCAGTGGAGTGCAGACTCTAATTCTGTTACGACTCAACTCTCCCAAGTTCTTGCTAGGTGAACGCATTTGCACAATCCAACAATATAGACAGACGTTTGTACTGGTACTGTAGGTTGAGAGAGCGCGCAACAGAAGTTGATTTGCCAAGGATGCTGATGGCTTCTACTCTTGGGACAAGTGTGCGAAGAGTATAGAGGCATGGTTTTCCCAGCATCTTGGCTCCCTTTCATGCTTATGTTATCCTATGTTCCTTCTATTATTCTTTCTCAGCATGACTGACTGCCAGTAGCTTGATCATGTTGCCACTGTCACGAAAACCAGGGTGCTGACAAGCTGTTGGAACCTCAAGTCAACTCATGCAATAATGTGGACATTTGACTCTGGATGTTGAGATAGAACACGACGTATGTGTTGTGCTCGAGCTTGCCCACCAGCAGCCCCTCAAAAAGTGTTGAAATCATACTATAAGTGGAGAGAAAGTGTTGTTGGTCCGTCAGGCAACGTTTGCCAGAGACATGTTCTTGTCCACCCAGTGGTGTGCCCTTTGCAGAACCACTAAATTGATGAGTATTCTGACAGATGTTAAAACAACTCTGAGGTTTGCATACACGCGTGACAGAAAATAATTCATGGAATAAGCGAAAGTATGGCTGACAGCATGCCATGGAGCTCTTTTTCCCAAATACGCCAAAGCTGCATATCATGTCATGCTGGTTTTGACCCTTGCAGTCTCCATCATTTGAACCCTTCTCGCCATCCTTCCTCGCAATGCAGAGGGACTTGTTTCATGTCCTATTCTTCTCCGACAGAAAACGCTAATAGGGGCTCCTGGCCGTACTACTAGGAACAAGAACACTACTAGCAACAAAGGGCGTCGCTACTAGGAGCAAGGATGGCTCCTGGTGCGTATTGTGTCATCCCTCATTCTGAGGAGTGGGTAGCTGTGGGCCTAAGCAGGTCACAATCTCGACACCCGGATCTTATCCAACAGAGCCAAATGTAGGACGATCCCAACTCCGAGTGCAATACAGTAGTACTGATACACTCTTTATACAGTACGTGTTTGTTTTAGGTGAACATCACTAGCACAGTGTACTGTGCCACAAGGAAAGTGCGGTGAGGCAACTTATGAACCTTATCCATTCTGTCCCATTCGTACATTCTTAAACCATTTCCCTTACTCAAGCAGCCATCGCACATGTGGGGCAAGGTTTGGGTCTTGGGTTTGTGGTGGAGGTTGTGCCAGTCCATCGGTTACCACACTTTTCATGCCAACATCCCATCGCATATCATCATATCATACATTCCATATGAAGAACAGTCACAAAGACCTAACCTGCAATCAAGTCCAACATTGTCCAACTATGACATCCATGACGTGTGCTTGACGCATCTTGAGGCAGTATCCTTGAGACCATTTAGCCCCCCCCCCTTACTACTAACTTAGTACCCTTACGTACCCTTGGGACAGAGTTCGTTGGGAGCTGTCCAATCTGAGGCAGGATAGGCGGGAGCGCTTCTATGGCGTCGTGCCCAAAGTCCAGGAGTTGGACGGTTTGCGTAGCTTAGCTCGCTATCTATTTAGTGCGGTCGCGCAAAACAACATGCAAAGATGTGTGCGCAATGCACCCAAATTGGACAAGGATCAAACGCAGCACATAACTAAACGCTGGCTAACATCCCTTACAGACCTTGCAGACCTTTCCTTGGATTGAATTTGCACATGTGCTTGACAGCGCAGACAATGCTAGAGATTCGACATGATGCGGCATTGTCATGAGGTGAGAAGATCTCCGAAACAGAGGAGGATGCTTTGGATACTTGGTTGGCTTGTGGGGCCAGGCTGGGGCCTGGTGGTGCTCGTTGTACAATTGTTCTCTCGCTTTGAATGCTGTGATGTGAGACTTTTGGGGTCAGACATTGGTCTTGGAACACTGTGCTGCCATGTGCTGCCTGTTGAACTGATTTTCATTGCTTGTCCGCCTTCAAGCACAGGAACACCCTGTTCGGGAATCATAACTTGTCATGATGTTCTTACTGTACTGCACTCAAATATTCTTGGAGTTTGCTGGGAAGGGTTGTGGTTAGTTATTTTTGTTGTAATTTTGACGACAAAACAATTTTGACTTGTGGAGAGACTCTCCGTGGTGACCCGCCGTTGCCACTTCGCTCCCAATGGCTCACACTCTTTACTAAGCCCTGACCACGCTGCATTACATTGACATGATCAATCGGTATAGACCAAGCCACGTTTAGTTTAATCTGAATGTTCCGTCATGTGCCCAAAGTGCTTTGCAACAGGCATTTCCTAGAGATTTGGTGGAGGCCATTGCTATTAGGTTGGAGGTACTGGTATGGGATGCACAAGTATTCTTGCGCCAACTGTGACCTCTATAAAGTGATCAGGATGTCATGGCCAAGCTAAATGCGGACCATTTTGGGAAACATGCGGTGGCTTTGGCAGCAAAGGCTCCACAAGGGTGGAGCTACTGAGGTGTAGTTGGCTTTTGAAGGTTTTTTAAAGTTTGTTGTGGAGTGAGAAAGTGTTTTTGGTTCTTGACCCTCCCACAAACTGAATCGGATTTCGCGAAACATCTCCAGGCTCTCACTGAAAGGCTGATTGGATGGTTTGCTTTGTGGCGCTGGTTCAGATGATTGAGTTGAGGCAACCCTTAGACGGATGTTTTCACGGCGCTGGCCGTGGATGGTGTTCGGGTCAATTCAATTGTTTGAAACTCATCGTGTTGTTGACCGCTCTAAGGACATTCTTGGCATTTTCACCGATGCAGGAGCAGATCCATGGCTTCTTGTCAGCGCAGTGTCGTTTTGACTCGTTACTGTAGTTGGCAGATCTTCTGATTTTATATACTATGATGTTCTGTATCCAAGAAATAAGGTGTAAGGCTTCAAGGTGTCTGTGCTAGACACCATACCATGAGGGCCTCAATTTTGTTTCATGTGGTCTGAATGTCAGGCATGCAGCTCAAAAGATCGAGCGTTTGCAACCGGTCCATGACATGATCCCTTGGAATACACTGCCACGAAGTGAATGTCCAGCACAAAGGGGACCTGATTGAAGGGGCCAAAAGCTTGCTGCCTTGCGAATAAGGTGCCGCTCACCTGTTCGAGTGCCTGATGGCAAAGCCTCGAGCCTGGCACCTGCCACTTCTGCAAGCTTCAAACCGTCCCTCAGCCATACCAGTCCCGCCTGGAATTGAGATATGGAACTCATGGAGCAATTGTGGAAACCAAATGATGAACCGTAAGACCAAACAAACATGTCAGTTGTTGCTGTTGAATCTCACGCAGCATCGAGTACAGTCTCTTTTGATCTCTTTTGAGTTAATTGAGACTACTACTGAGCATCTTTGGTGAGCTGAGTGCAACTTTGTGGTACACACATGTCAGCGTTCAGTTATATATATATATATTTAAGGGCTGCCGCCCCTGCCGCCGACCCCGGATTCTCAGGTCCGGCTTTTCCTCCACTGGTTGGCATTGCGAGGGTTTTTCGAACAGGGGTTTCAGTCGTCCTTTTAAAGGTTGCTCTTCTGGAATCGTCGTTTCTTTCCGGTTCCGTGCCCGTGCGGAGCGTTTCATTGCCTGCTCTCTGGATTGTTTGCTAGCATTTTCCACCACTAACCAGCCTCCCAAAAAGCATCTGAAACCACCCCTTCGCCAC